CGACAAGTGACGTGGTTTATCACGACTCGCCGGTCGACCTCGACTCACAATGTCTGTCGGCGGATCAATAGATCGTAATAACAGGGGGCATAAAATACGCTGAATAAATTATTTCTTTTGAAAGTGTCACGAGTCACAAAGCGTCAGTCAATCAATCAATCAGTCAGTCGGCCATGGATCGAAATCACCGTGTCAAAATGTCTCGTTTAAGCCGCCGTTGCTCGCAGAAACGAGGAAACTCGCATCGAACGATATGAGCTTCGCGACGGTATTACTGCGTCTACGTCGAATAGAAATCCACCTCGTCTCACGGAGGCTACAAGATACTTCCGACGGCGGAGCGTTTGGGCATCTAAGACATCGTGTTCCGTCAGAACAGAGCCGGGCTTCTATTCTCCGGACGATCGTACCAGACGATCGTAAAGCACCGTCTTGTACCGGTAACATTCGCCGGTTCCCAGTGGCTGACGACGACGACGACCGGCCAAGCCGACTCGCCACCAAGAAGGAAGGGGGTTATGCTAATTTTACGATTACACCTCGACCCAGTTCCCGCGCGCGGGGTTTCTCCGCGAGACCAGACACTCTCGCGCGAGCGGATTTCATACTGTTACCGGCAAACGTTAAGCACCATTGTCGGCATCGAACAACGGCATTATGACTATCCACCGCCCCTCGCCTATCTCCCTGGACGCCGCTTTATGCCCCTTTCCCGCCTGCCTAGCTCACCCGCCGTTCTCTCAGTACTTGTCACGCTCATTACGTCACGATCGATAGTTCGCTCGAGAGCACAAGGGTCCAGGGGGGCTGCTGGCGTTACGTTCGCGAGATTCGCGCAGCCAGACGCCGATCTGCGGATTTCGTAACGGAAGTTGCACGGCCCGTTCCTTAACTCGCTGATCGAAAGTTAGTCGATCGGAGAATTGTCCGGAGGATTTTTTTTCACTGAGGCCGAGTTACACCCTCCTAATTTCCGACATGTTTCTCCTAGCTTCTATTCGGTAACGCTTTCAAAAAGCATAGATTGATTACGTTGTCCCCTCCTATCCCAATATCTGTTTCTCTCTGGAGAAATAACGAACGGTGGCTCATCTATCACAGTCGCGGTCAGTGAGTGCGATTACTTATCCATATATGTATGAATGTATAAGGCATATATCGCCCGTGGAATTTTGAAGAAGTCGATTTGATTGGATAAATGAAGGAAGGCTGTACCTCGATATTAAACAACATGCACAAGCCGAGGATCATGAATATACCCGCTCGTCAAATTTCGATTGTTTTGGTCTCACATTAATGAAATCGCTGCGTAATGGATGGCAGGTTAATATACGAAACAAGCCCAACGTGACTTAGCTTCTTGGGAATCTTCGAGCCAGCTTTACCGTGTTAGAGAGGGGCTGAAGAGAACGCGAGTTAGGAAGGGGAGGTATGAAGCAGCAGCAGCAGTGGAGGCGCGCGCGCAAAGAGCTAGGTGGTGCTTGGGATTAAGTCGGAATATATTCTTAGCGGGATTATCGTTCGTCTATAATTAGTCGCCGCTGAGGGAGGAATTAGGTGTATTAAGTTATGCACCTGAATGTTATTGCACATGCACCCTCGTGTCAGGCGACCCCGCGCTATTGCCAATGTAAACACGGTATTAGCAGGAGCGCAGATTACCTAAGTCTCGCGTATGCGAGGAATTACTCGATGATAAGTTGGCTCGACACGCGCAAAGTCGTTCGATTTTATGCGACTATACCTTGTAGCACGAATTACTACTCTGTCCCGATGTTACTCGTCCGTCAGACGAGATCAACGCAGACAAGGCTCGTTAGGTTCTCTTATATACTACACACAGAAAAATATCATTCTGCTGCTAAAAAAAGCGATTACTCAGTTCACTTTCCCCCTTTGAACTTTTTTCCTTATCTTCCACAGAGAATATTTTCTTGATAATAATCTTGAAATATAATATCAGAAATTTTAGAAAAGCTCACTATCATGTACTCAGAGGAAGAATTTATTCTTTTTGCGAGAATATTATAAAATTGTATCGAAGAAAAAAATGACTTGACTCTATGTAGTAAGCGAATCAAATTTTTGTTTTAATTTAATATTCTTAATTGAAATGCTAAACTTATAAGAATGTATTTTGTTCCGAATGTATTTTGAGTAAATATCATGCTTGTGATGAATTGATGGTTGTAGATATATAAACCTATAAAATACGTGAAACAAGTAACATTTACTTGCATGCAGTATGTATCTTTCTGTATGTAAAGTCATACGCTTTTCTAAGTTCGTAAAGGAATCAATATCCGAATCGAAATTTTAATTCTACGTCAATCCTGCAAGTTCCGATGGACTTGAAGGATTAATGAAGAATTTTGAAATATTAAGGATTTGCAAACATTCGTCGGATTGTAGATGATTTCATTGTCATAAAAATGAATTTTTTTATAAACATCAAACAATTATCTAGAAGGTTGTGAAAAATGATAAAAATAACGGCAGATACTTTGAATGGACAGGACTATTTTCGCTTTTTTTAGCATATAAAAAAAAATATGGCTAAATCCGATGAAATTTGAAAATCCTTAATTTAACATTAGTTATTGACCTACCTTGAAGCTGCAGATGTCCTCTTATTGTAGTTTTCTCCATGTTAAAATTGAAGGAAGAACTTGCTGAGAGCAGTGTTGGGTTGATTAAAATTTTCTCTCAATAAAATAATCGGTAAATCAATAATCAAAATTAATCAATTGTCATATATAAAATGTACAAATAATTTCACTGATCGGTCGAGTTAATGATTAATTAAAATTTAATGTAATTAATTGTGATTACACTAATTAAAAATTAATTACGTCAATCGGAGAAATTATTCGTGATTATATATATATATATATATATATATATGACGATTAACTTTGATTTGCTGATTCTTTTAGTCAAACAAAATTTTAATTGGTTAATGCCCAACATTGATTGAGACTACTGTCTGTAGAAGCCGAATAGTAGAAATTTAAATTCTATTCTATTACAAGGTCGCGAATATTATATTATGGAACTCTTGTAAGTCACTAACGAATCTCGAGATATTTGCACCGAGCATTTATATCGACTATCGCATTTTTTGATGTTATAAATGGTAATTTATTTATGTCAAGACTTACCTGCTTCCTACATTGAGGGAAAAATTATCTTAAAATCAACAAATATTTTTTTTATGGATGCCATTAATATATTTACTTAAATATAAATTATCTTTATTTAAATCAAATATTGTTTACCTGATTTAAGTAAACAATATTTGGTTTAAATACAGAGAATTTAGATTTAAATAAATATGTTAATGGCATCCATCAAAGAAATATTTGTTGATTTTAAGATAATTTGCTAATTTTTCCCTCAGTGTACTTAATATGTCGAGCTTCGCGAAGAAAAGATATCGGATAAATTAACCGGCCCGCGATGCATCGAATACACAAAACCAATACTTTGCAACGTTGCCATTCGCGATAGTTGCTCTGCCCGGGCGGAAAATCTGAGAAGAAACTGTCACAATTAACTGTCACTCGATGACCACATGTGAGCGAAGTGTCGCGTTATTTTACAATTAATTTTATGTCAATTGGCAAACGTATATACACGCGACTGGAACTGAGCGAGGTGTGGCTATATTCGTACGGTTATGTATGTTGTTCGGCGACTCTTCAACGAGGAACGATGTCATGACGTGGAGTACAAGCGGCGTTCTCACCACTTACCTTATTAGGACCTATCTTGAGCGGCTACTTAACTCCTCCGATGCATCTCCCTCCACGAGGGAGACATCAAAAAAAGTGCGTGCATTCGATGCGTAAAAACCACTCACCAATTACCATTCACAACAGTTGTCAAAAAATCTCAAAAACGCACATTATTTGTACGAAAAACTCGGAAAAGATAAGTCAGATATAGAAATCAAAATTTATACAGAATGCAGAGATCACACGATAATTGTCAATGTGGCGTTATCATACGTACGGTAATATAATAATTGGCAAATATAAACAGATTGGCAATTGGCGAAATGTGGCTATGTTCGAACGAGAAAACAATGTATACCGAAAGTGTCGCTTATTATTTTCTCGATTATCGTTATTATTAATCACGAATTATTTATAACGTTCGATTATATATATAAAATATATTTTAATAGAATTTAATTTTTATTTTTAATTTCGATCGGCAATGTATTAATTAGATAACTTATTTAGCGGCAACTAGAGAATGTATGAGATGTATAATTATTAAGAAACTAATTAAAGTGGAGAAATAGATAGAAGAGAAACAACACATTCTCATCTCCTCCTGATTTCTTTTTCTTTTTTTCTTTTTTTTTTGTTTTTCCTATTTTTTTTTTCTTTTTTTGTTTCTCTTATTTTCTTTTATTTTGTTGGAAGATTTGATGAGAATTGTAGCTCTTAAAAGAGCTCTTAAAAGAGCTCTTAAAAGATTTGAAGCTAAAAGAAAATGATACGAGTTAAATGTCCAATAATGCTCTGTGTGTGTTTGTTTAACTTAATAAAAATCTAAATATGAATTTCATACAATAACAAAGCTAAAGAGAAACGAAAAGAAAGCATTGGCAGCTGTAATGAAAAATATACTCGCGGCTCAAAGTGCATTATTAGACGTAAAAATCAACAATTGTAAATTTACATTACACTCTAAGGCCGATATTCATAGTCATAAATTATTTAAGATCATCGATTGTGTAAGATCATAATTAATTGAAGATTTATATATATGGATTCATTTTTTCAGTTATCTGGGTAGGTATCACTTTGTGTGAAATAAAATACAGGTTGACAATTAAAAAGATTAAAGCAGCTATAATTATTTATAAAACGATAACTGACTATGAATGTTGGCCTAAATTTCGATTCGGGTATCTCCTTATTCGCGATAAGTCTGCTTATTGTCCATTGAAATCGGACACATTTCGTGTAATAATTGATTTAGCATACCTGGAAATACATGATGAATCGTTGACCACGTCTGATGAATCGTTGGCGCTCTGCTTCCTCCGTCCGGCTTTCTGATCCAACATCCTGTCTAACTCCATCTTGGCTGCTCCGTCGTGGCACTTGCATGGACACTTGCACTCGCGTAGGTACGATTCGACCGAAAAATGCACGTGTTAAATAACGCGATGCCGACGAGGACCCGATTAAATATTTCAAAGTTCGACGAGAACGTCTATTGTTCCACGTACAGGTGCTCCGCGTCGCGGATGAGTATCGCTCGCCGGCTCGAGACGTAATAATCCGATCATACGCGCCGCACGGCAGTACAAAAACAATCAACAAAAACGACAACGTCACGGCGCGCCAACCGTCACCCGTCGCCGCCCGACAATGACGGTTGAGAAATGTCAACAATCGACGCGTCCAAAGCATTGTAGATTTTTTCGAGGCGAGCTATCAGGATCGGCACATGTATGATCTGTATCGGAAATGCCCAGGGCCGAAATTATGAACTCATTGCGAGTCTTGTAAATGATGATTGCCTTTAGTAACGTCTCTCTTTTCCCACCACTTCCACGACTTCTTTCTTTCGCTTTCAGTCTCTAAATCCTACTGAAAAATCACAACATAAAAAAGAATTATAGAAAATAGTTTCTATGAAACAAAAGTCTATTATTTCATTCATCCATGAAGAATCTCATTATTTACCGATATTAATTGCTTAACATTTGTTCATTGCATCTACCTGCAGTTTACTAAATTATGTTACCAATATCGTCTTCTTTACAGAAGGCTCGATAGAAAAAGTTGACGAACACAAAAGTGTCTAATTTGATACGAGAATTACAATTCCGCTCGCGACATAATTACGTAACAGGACGACGACAACCTGGCAGTGTTACATGCAAAAACGCTGTCTCGAGCACATTAAGGCTTCGCGTCGGGCGCGAGACTTTAATCACGAAAGACAAGAAGGAAGACTGATTGTGCTCTTAATGCACGCGGTCTCACGCGGTCGATTAGGCACTGAGAACGCGTTCAACCCGTGTCCGCTCGGCGTGTGTCTCACCTTTTTCCCCGAAATCGCGCGAGGAAGCCCTTGGCTCCCTCCGGCCGACCAAGCCGTTTAGAAACGAACATTTGAATTTCACGTACGATACGAATTGCACACGCGTTACACGGATCTCTCCTCTCGGCGCAGCGGCTTCTTTTCTCTCATTTCTCCGCTATATCCGACGGATATTTCGTAGACGGATAATTGCGGCTATAAATTCACGATTAATCGAGCCCAACGTTGCCTGTCGTTGCCTCCTCCCCGCGAAATCCATTTCGCGTTATAAATCAATCGAGCCGTTTCTCTCGATCCTCGCGCGCTCTTCTCTCGCGCGCCTCCTCCCGATAAAACTTCGACACCCACCCTCCCTCCCTTTGGCTCGATCCCGGGGTGGTGCAGATGATACGCTCGCGAGATAGGTTACGTCCATGGGCACGAAACTTCGATATTAAGCCCACCTCGTTTTGTGGAGTGCGTACGATCGGATCTCACGCGACGTGCCGTACTGGCCGAAATTCTCAGAATAATAAAATCGATCCTCGCGGGTATATATCGAGATCCAGCCGCGAAATGTATCGACCTGTTATTAAAGTTGCACCGTGGAATCGTGGACGATGGTGGTGCGTTGCTAAGCTCGAAATGGATTTCGACGAGACGGCCACCGGCAAGAGCCGCGTACATAAGGTACTTCGAGGAGAGCGAATTAAATATTTCAATGAAAAAAGAGAAGGAGAAGTGCGACTTTCTTCGCGGAGAAAATATATAATTTATTTATATTACCCGAGCATGTTACTATCAGCGTGTTATTCTTAATATTCATTTATTATTTCTTAATATTCATTTATTTCGATGTGAATTTAATTGAATGAAAAACCCACGGATCGCGCCTCTTAACTCATGCAACACAGCATCGATCGCCGTACGATTTTTGTCGCGTTGCACAAGACGACTAACTAATTGCAAACTACGATTGCAATTTAATTCTCGCCGTTTCCTAGAGCTGTCCGAGAAGCGCGACGTGATTTCCACGCGTATCCGCGCCGGAGATTCTCGGGCAGCTCACTTTCGCGGTGTTCGCGCTCGTACTTCATCCCCGTAAGTACCGGGCCGCGCTACATGTCTCGTCTACGAAATTAAAAAGGGATCCGATACGGCACGGCCGTGCAAGTTCGAGAGCGAGCTAAGGGCGCGCAGGGAAAAGGGTGTAGGGGGAATGGGTATCCGATAGCTGGTGGGATGGATAGGTGGTCGAGCGTATAGCGGGCACGCCCTTCGAGGCGCGATCTCGCGCGATTTAGGGCTCTTAATTATATGTGTGTGGAATGGAATAGCGTGCACATTCGAGGCGGGGGAGTCGGACTCGAGCGGCGTGTGTGTCTGCGTATGTACGTGAATTCGCGAGCGAGCGAGTGCGCGCTTACGTGCGCCCGTACGTTCTCTCGTTCTTTCCCTCGCTCTGTTCCTTCCTCGTCTCATTCCTCCGTCTCTTCTTCCTCCTCCTTCTCTTCTTCTCCGTTCCTCGCACCCTCTACACGCATTATGAATAAATATATACGCCGTATTGACGCGTGTGCACGGGGCGTGGTGCGCCCGGAGCGTTGACCAGACCCAGTCGAATCTGGACGATCTTTTTCCTTGCATCTCCCCGAATGCATCTTCGCGAGATGCGCCGTGAAAACGCGCTATGCGCGCTTAACGTGCCTCCGACTCTATTACATACGTCGCGTGTTTTCTGAAAATGTGAAGAGACACGTGGTTCTTTAACACGAACTTAAGGCGAGGTACTTGTCCCGACGATGTATAAATCGTGTATCTCCGAAATTACGCCGATTACGCCGATTACGCCTCGAGAAGACGTTCCGTTTCGCGAAACTAGAAATAGTGAGAGGTACAAAGTCATACAAATATATAACAAGCTTAATCCGACATGTACTTCGTCAATTATCCCGCGTCAATGTCAAATCAAGCGAATCTCTTTCAGTCCTCACAGAGACAATTGTATCCATCGTTCAGATATTCTCAGGTATGTTTCGCGCCGGTCCGCATTGATGAATAACATCGATAACATGATACGCTCGAAATGACCAACACGAATGTTTCGAATTCAATTTCAATTATCCGCGCTGTCCGTGGAAACGAACAATATTCCGAGAATAAATTCATCCCGCGCTCGCTCGTGTCGGCCGTAGCGCGCGCTTAATCCAATAAAATCCAAAAGATAAACCCGCGAGACGCGCGCGCTCGCGTGCTGCCGCGCGCAAAGCCGAGATTGCCGCGAGATAGCCATGAATAAGTCATAAATATCTAGCAATTAAGAACCACTTACCGGACGAGAGAAACGGTATCGACGATCGAGAGGGATCATCCGCGCCCGCCGTGGCAGGGACCGAGTCATTCCGGGCTTGTATATCCGTGAAATTAAATCGTGCGTTCGCGGTGATCATCAGTCACACGTATCGGCGCGTATCGGCCCTCGTGTGTACCCGCGTGTGCGTGCACGCACATACGCGGGTACGCACGCAAAGCCGCAGAGGCCCGCCGTGTTTCGTTTCCATTGCGCAAATCATGCCCGACGGAGAGAACGCAGGCCATGGGTGGAAACGCTTAACTTGTAAATTGCGCGCCCGCAGCGGGCGCCTACGACGACGACGACGACGACGACGACGACGACGACGAGGACGACGTACCACGCGCGATCGAGCGCCGACGGATGATGCATCTGGATCATCGACGAGAACGACGCGATCGATTCGCGAGCAACGACACGAGCATCGTCCTCCTCCTCGATCCACCACGTTCGTCGTGGGCACGTTGTGCATACACCGACGATAGTAATCCCCGGCGGCGGAATGACACGCTCTTCGCCGTGGACAGCTGGCTGAACAACGTTTCGATGCATCGGCCAGGCTACGGCCGTGCACGATACGAGCGCGCGGCATACACTATCGTTTCGATAGACCGCGCGAGGTAATGGATCTCTCTCTCTCTCTCTTTCTCTGTCTCTCCGCGGCGAGTCGCGGAGAGATTATAATAATGTTCTGAGTGACAGCCTAGAGAGACGGGGGATGCCACAATGTGTGGGAGTAAAGGCGTTTCCCGAGGGGGCAACGAGCGGGTACGCGGCGACCGTGTGCTGCACGCGTTCCACGCGGAGAGCCGCCGTGTCTGTGAGTCGCACGTGGGCACAGAACGAAATCTGCGCTCGCGAATATCTCTACGAGTCTCTCTGCGGATGTTCTTGATACGTCGATCCCCTTTAAACTACGATTACCCTCCGTAAAAGAAGAGAAATTTATCTGCAAACTCCTGCGACTGCAGACTCCTGGATTATCAACTCCAGAGTCAAATAAAGCCTAATCTGATCTTGGAATCGATTATCAGCCGATACAAATTCTACAAGATAAAAAGAGAACCATTGACAAGCGGGATCTACCGAGCGCTTAATGGTTTTTTTCATGCTGCACACGTCCCCGAACCATGATGATTTACACGATCGCAACCGGGAGCCCATCAGGAGCGATTAATCGCTCCTTGAGACTACATTGCGCGATTTAAACGGCGCTTACGAGTCGTTCGCGAGGATATGTCGACGGTGCCAAGAGTCGGCGCGAGAATGGCGTAAAGGTCGGTGGAAAAGGGCGCGAGAGGTGCACGAGGGACGATATTAACCCGTGCGGTCTGTCCCGGACAAATCGCGTATTTACGACGCCGCGGTACAATGACGGAATTTTTAATCCCTCGGGCTGGACTTACCGCGCGACGACTCGCGCCGGTTGTGTCGCGCGTTATATTTTGTCGCTTCGCAAGAAAGAAAACGAGAAAGAGAGAGAACGAGAAAGCCGCGCGCGTTTGCGTTAGGCGAACACGCATGTCTCACGCGAACGCACCGCGCCGAGGTCCGAAGGGGTCCCCGGGGTTGGCCCAGAGAGGATGGAGACCCCGGCGTGTGTACATAAACATGTCAGGGAGCCATTATGCAAATTTTTAAATACGACGGGACCATATATCCTGCGGCGCGCTGCGCCAGGGTGCGAAAAATAAAATTAGTATTGCCACAAATGTTTTTCGGCTTAAGAGACCGCGCGGCGGATATGCGCGTCGCACCGTGCGAGCCGGATAACTGCCGCGAGAGAGATCAGCTCTTTCTTTCTCTCTCTTTCTCTTTCGGCCATGCGTCCAGCTCGAGTCGAGGCGTTAATGCCAGATCGCGATCCTGGCTCGTTCCCGAGGAAATACGGCGCCTCGCGCCCTGGTCGCGCGCGACGTCCCTTCCCTCTGCGAATTCCGATTCGCCGCGAAATATAGGGGTGATCGATGACACCGCAGTGCAAGAAAATGTCGGCGCTCATCGTCTTGTTCTCTGCCGAGGATAATTATTCACGCATACTGGGAACGATACCTCCGTAATTTATGAATGGATATTGATAAACGCGATATCTCGGTGTTGGCAAGGAACGAAAAAAAAATGACAAAACGCGCGGCTTTATGCGTGTTCAAAGAATTATTTACGAGTCACTTATGATCCTCGCTTTATGATGATGAAGTTACTTTATCGGAG